ATTTTCATGTCCAAGCAAAGATGGAATATCGCTTTTATACTTTCGTAGAAATTAAAAGTCTACCCTGTTTTCAAATTTTTTTAAAAACAATCGCAATATGTAATTTTGTAGCCCAGTGGACAAAACATGAAAGCGACGAAGCATCTTGAGGAAAATTAAATTAGTATTGGACCTAATAAAAAATTATGTTTAATATAATTTTTTTCCATTTTATTTCTATTTTCTTTTCTTTTTTATTTTTATTTTATTTATTAAATATATTAACTGGAAATTTTATAATGTCCTTATAAGAAGATATGAGCAGTAATTTAAACAGGAAAGTTCAAGCATTAAAAAATTTTTAGAGTTGAATTTTCTCAATCAAGTATTCATGTATAAAGAATTAAAATGCTTATAATTTCTTGTAGGAGAGCACATAAAAAATTGGAGGTCAAGATATTTTGTCTTGAGAGATGATGGTACACTGGTTGGATTCAAGACAAAACCTGATCCACAGATGGCTACGCAAACATCTACCCAGCCATTAAATAATTTTACAGTGCGTGGGTGCCAAATAATGTCGGTGGACAGACCTAAACCCTACACATTTGTTATCAGAGGCCTCCAGTGGACAACTGTAATCGAAAGGACGTTTCATGTGGAAACGGAGCAAGAAAGGGAAGACTGGGTAGCAGCAATCAGGTTTGATTTTAACAGCAATTCTGCAAAGTTCTAAAATGTTGAATTCTTTGATGCTCCATTTTTCAATATTTTATCTAACTCTCTTCCTCATATTTTTTTGCAGATATGTAGCAGATAGGTTAGCAATTGAAGAAAATCAACAACAAGAACAACCACAAATGCAACAATCTTCTTCTTCGGAGGATGTTGATATGGAATCATCAGTAGGTGCTAGGTCTGACTCTTGTAGTTCCTTAGGTGTTGTATCTTCTGATATAGATGGTGGTAGTATTGATGAATTATCAGCAAAGTTCAGTGTCCAAGGAACTTCAAGTAGTAAAAGTACCGGCAAAAAGAAAGTAGTAAGTTTTTAAACCTTGTATTTTTAATTATTTAGCTAAATCATTTTTTCTGAAAAACGCATTACTCAGTTATAAGTTACGCCATTGCATATGATGCATGTATAAATATTATTTATTTTTTTACATATAATACAAAGTATTAAATATATAAAAAATAAATACAAAGAGTAATTTTTTTTAAATCAATTAATTTATTCAAAGATAATTTTATTCATAATTTCTGTTCATGTTTGCTTCAGACACTGGAAAATTTTGAATTTTTAAAAGTTTTGGGGAAAGGAACGTTTGGAAAGGTAATTCTTTGTAGAGAAAAAGCGACAGGACATTTATACGCTATTAAAATTTTACGAAAGGAGGTTATTATCCGTAAAGATGAAGTGGCACATACACTTACTGAAAACAGAGTATTACGTACTACTAATCATCCTTTTTTAATCGTACGTAAAATACCGCTTAATGTATACATTATTATTAGATATTTTTCGCAATTTTATAATTTGTAGGATAAAAGCTGTCTGTATCGAATAATGATATTGTAAACATATTCGTAAATTTTCAGTCTTTGAAATACAGTTTTCAAACGGCGGACAGGTTGTGTTTTGTTATGGAATATGTTAACGGTGGCGAATTATTTTTCCATTTGAGTCGATCACGGGTATTTGGCGAAGATCGTACTCGATTTTATGGCGCAGAGATTATATCGGCCTTAGGTTACTTGCACTCGCAAGGCATTATATACCGTGATCTCAAACTGGAAAATCTCCTCTTGGATAAAGATGGGCATATTAAAATTGCTGACTTTGGTTTATGCAAAGAGGATATTTTGTATGGTTTGTATCACTCGCAAACTGAAAGATAAATTAAAACTAATGAAGTGTTAAATAAGAATTTTGATGAGATTAATTATATAATCATAGGAACAACAACAAAAACATTTTGCGGAACACCAGAATATTTGGCACCAGAAGTACTTGAAGATAACGATTATGGACGAGCTGTGGATTGGTGGGGTGTAGGTGTAGTCATGTATGAAATGATGTGTGGTCGATTACCTTTTTATAACAAAGATCATGAAAAGCTATTTACGCTTATTTTATCGGAAGAAGTAAGGTTTCCTAGGACGATTAGCAATGAAGCAAGAGAGATGCTTGGTGGTAAATACTACAAACTTCAATAATTACAAACATGTTTAAATGAAAAAAAAAATTAATTTCTGCTATTTTGATAGGTTTATTAATAAAGGATCCAAGAAGAAGATTAGGCGGTGGACCTAATGATGCAAAGGACATCATGAATCATGCATTTTTCTCATGTATTAATTGGACAGATCTTGTCCAGAAGAAGATTCCTCCACCCTTTAAGCCGCAAGTGACTTCAGATATTGACACTCGATATTTTGATAGTGAATTTACCGGCGAAAGTGTTGAACTTACACCCCCAGATCAGGGCTGTTTGGGTAGTGGAGGGGGTTTGAATTCTATAGCAGAAGAACAAGAACATTTTCCCCAATTTTCATACCAGGAAAGTCATTCAGCAGCAGCTTCTTCCATTGTTTCTATTAATCACTGACAGTGTCAAGTGTCTTGCTTAATTAATGTAATGAGATGTGATTCAATGCATGAAAAACTTCGAGCAAAAAAATTTAATTACGATATGTATCTGACGATTGTCTGCAAAGCTTGAAATTTTCCCAATAGGCAGATCAATCAAATTATCTTTCTTTATGATGCTTTTTTTTAATGCATCTTAAGAGATTGTCACATATCTCCAATGACAAAATAATTAGATTTATGCGTATAAGTGTGCGCGCGCATATTACACCTATACACATAATTATTCATTAAAATTGTATATGGCAAAATGTATACTATAAGATTAGAATGAGATAGTACGAATAATATTTGCATATAGACTCGAAGGAATATGACAGGGATTAAATTACGTTCTTAATTGAATCGAGTTAACTAAAACTCCTTGAGACATGTATTGTGAATATTGAATAATTTTCTTGTCATCAAGGAACGTGCGATAATCGTAAGTATAATCTTTCATTTAACAAAAGCTGCACTTGACACTTTCCAACTTCATTATCTCACCGTTTATTATCTTATTTATGGAAGGGCAGTTCCTGATCTTTTTTTTAATTCAATAGATGACTGTTACGGCAGATGCCAAAAAATAGAAAATTGCAACTGGTAAAGAGCTAACGAAAAAGAAAATAGTTTGTCCACTGTGAAAGTTAAATGTGTAGTATATCAGCTTTAATTGAATTATTGTATAAATTGGAGATCACTTTTTTAGAGTTATAAAAATTGTCATTATTATGACTGATATAATTGGAGATGTGCGAGTATTCGAAAATTCTGGGCTGTATAGAATTCGGAGTACTTATTCGAAACAAATATTTTTGGAATTGTTTGGAAAAGGAAGTTGTTTAAAAGAAACTCGTGGCTTCAATATTTTCTACTTACGTTATTTCCTAACCACAAAATACGTTAATTTAATAATAAATGCATGCATGTGTATAAAAATATTAAAAATCAAATTCTTTATACTGTTGTAATTGGATATTTTTTTATTATTGAATCATAAGCTTAAAGTTTAAGCAATAGACATTCAATTTCATAGTTATCCAATACAGCTTAAAATCTAAAAGATAAAAACTTTATAGAGAAGATTCTATTGTATCATAACTTTTTTATTTTCACTGGATAAGACATTGGAAAAATTTTTGGACAAAATTAATTAATATTAATTAGCATATTTATACACACTGTTAAAAAAAAGCAGAAATTTGCTTCTATTACATGTAACGGAAGCAAATTTCAAGCAGGTACATTAAAAATATTTAATATTGTCAATGAAAACGAAATTATAAGTAACTTAAATTTTATGTTAAATTTCATGTAAATCTACATAAAATTTAATAAAAAATGTACTAAACTCCGTAAAATTTTATGAAAGACATTAAACTTTATGTACATGTACACAAATGTACTTTTCAGTTGCAGGTACATTAAATTTAATAAAATTTAATTTAATTTATGTAACCTAAAAGTACATTAAATTTCATAAAATTTTTAACAGTGTACCATATATTTGAAAGTAATAGTTTTTCCAATGTATGCATATGTGTAAATCATATTTTTTATTGTCTGCAAATCTACATTCTTTTAAATAATCTCAAAATATTTTAAATGTAAAAATAATTTTCGATGAATATAACGATATATATGTATAATGAAATAAATTATTCATTATTCGTATCATCAAAAAATGAAACCAGACTAATGATATCAACATAGATTTGTGCATAATTATGGTCAAAGTGCCTAGTAAATGATTACTCTCTAATGCAAATAATATAATCATATTTGAATGCAAACATGAAAATATAAAATAATCGTCAGTCACTATTTTATTTTATTTGGGCTAAATACTTAATCTGGTATATCATTTAGATGAACTCATATGTTTCAAGAACTCACTGATATAAAACTTATAAATGTAAAAGCTTATAGTAATTTAAAAAATCATAGGTTTGAATATATGGTAGCCACAATTAGAGCGATTGGAACAATTTGAAAATAACAGCTCGAATGAGTTCTATCCGAAATATAGTCATATAATACGTGATATGTGGAACTTCGAAATACTCACACGTGTCTAATTATAATGAATTTTAAATTGGAAAAAATGTTTTCCTAAGAAACAGTCAAGGCTATTCGTTATATCTTTATGTATCATTAAATAGTGATTAATTATGAGAGTTAGATGGAAATATGAAATCTTATACACTAATACTATGTATATATATATACATATATACATATACATATATATTTATATGTATATGTGTGTATATATTATTAAAACTATTATATATACTTATAATAATTATATATATGCATATATTTATATTTTAACAATTAAAGGATTATATTATACGTTTTTGCATTTACTAATTTTTTACTCGCTCATACGTAAATATCACGTATTTTATTGTTTATGTATACATTTCGACCATAGTATGACCGCTAAAATGTGTACCAAATTCGAATTACAATTATACGTATAATACACAGCCGAAGTAAAAGAAATTTCTTATTTACTATAAAAGTATAATTCGATAAATGTCTCTTTTTAACGTCGCTACTTTGGTTTGTAGTATGGCGCTAATTAAAATTATTGTTACATTAATTTATAGGAAAAGCTTCTACATACTGTGGTAAAGGTTTCTCTTTAACGAGCCAAACTCTGTCTAAAACAGCACCATCCTTATCATCGGATACCTATTATTAAGTAGAAATAGTTTATAATTTGACAAAAAAATCACGTTTCCGGAATTTGTTATATTTATGTCATACCTGTTCTAGATATAAATGGGTTTTGTTGAATGCCTTCATTCTTGTATATCCATAATCTGAACTACGAAATGCGGACCATGCCGGTGGATTTGAAATAAATTTCTCTCGACCTTCTTTACAACCAGCTGATCCAGTAACTATATGTACAGGCGCTTTGTAATTTGTATATGGTTCTTCGTAACTACCATTGTACACCTATGAGAACAATTTCAAATTTATTAGCAAGCAAATATTTTTCCTAAAATAAACTTAATAAACAACATTTACTCGAAAGTTATACATAGGCCACAGCCTTTCGTAACTATGTTCGTGCGCCCAGATTTCTAAATCTACTTTATTTTTGAAAAACAGATCTTCCAATCCAAACCAATTTAAAAATGGCAATCCAACTCTAACTAGACTTTGATGGTTAGTACAATCGTCTGCATTTTTATTACTGCAATACATTGGTCTATGTCCAAATGTAACTATCCATGGACGTTGAGCTCTGTAATTATAATTCTGTGTCAATCATCATTATATTGCGTTATGATCTAATTGACAACGTATATACCTTGCTTCAGGTTTATTAGCTTCTCGTAAGTCTTTATCCAACCATTCATATTGTTTAACCATTTGTTTTAAACCATAATTCATAAAATAATAAGCTTCAGTTTCAATAGCTACAAAATGTACAGGACCTATATTAAAGCTATACCACAAGCCTTCTGAATCACCTGGCATAGTAAATCGAGCTCTGGAATATTATTTAAAAAATGAGATTAAATCATTTCATCGATATATGAAATATCGATAGCAAATCGCAATTGATCGAGTAAGTACTTGGGCTATTTTACAATTCACTGCCAGTGCTGAAAATTTATGACGTACGTAATATAAACTAAATTTTCAGCGCAATGAATTTTAAAATACAACTTTAAATAGGGAAGACTAGAAACAAACGTAACAGATGTAAAAACACACAAACAAATAAATCACAATTTTTATTCTTATTAAAGCATTCCATCTTATGGCCCGATAGAGTACGTACAATACTCAGTTTATCTGTTACGTTCGTCCCTGTTACTTTTGTGATTTTTCCTACCTATAATTGCTAAAATTATATTTTTCTTCGTGATTGCCAGGTACAGTCATGTATGGTATATAAGCGGCAACGGATTCAATTTGCCGCATAAACTCATCTCCTACACTTGCGTCTTCTGTATTCATGTCATAAGCGAAATCACCAACATGAATGGCAGTGTCATATAAACCACGCTCTGTTTCTTCTTGCAATCGTGACAAACTCTGTGCATTTTCATTACCCATATCACCAAAGATAACTATTTGTGGCGACCAATCTGCAGAGTCCTCAGGTGTAGTTCTCATATAAAATACATTTGACCATCCATAACGGCTACCACAATGATATACTGACAATAAATAATCAAATGTTCATTATTACTGCAATAACAATTGAAAATAATTAGTAGCAAACAATAAAACACATGAGATATGTCTTACTGTATTTGCTGTTGGGCGTTAAATCCTTTAGCAACACTCTGTGGATATATTGTTTTCGTTTCTTTTCACCACCATCAACGAAGAGAGTAGAATTTCCTTCAGCTCGCAGAATAAAGCCACCTATACCATACTCCACTATTGACTCTTTTGTATCATTTTTTGTGCTCCAAGTGACAACAATGTTGTGAATGTTATCTGAAAGAGAATATTGAGAACATATATTAATTATTTCTCTTAATAAGCAAGTATAAAGATGTCTATACATAAACGCTTAAATATCATTTCTCAATGTTATATTTTTTAAAGCATGGTTTAAAAAATATTACATTATATATCTGGAGACAAGGTAGCGTCTCGGCGCTAAGAGACAAGGCCAGCGTTATGGCGCGAGATGTATATTTACATATTAATATCATAAAACACTCACCACCATAGGAAAGATGCACGGCTTCTGGTTGATAATGTATCACAGTAGCAGATGCAGTAAATAAGAAAGATAGGATTACGAACGTAATATGCCAAAGCATCTTGTTTCTATACATTAGAAACAGTGTCAGATGATATGCATCAATTGATTATGACGCTGCAGAAATCAGTGGAAACAAAACAAAGGAATTAATTTAAGCAATTGCATGCGTTGCTGAATATATCATACCTGCTGATTCAACGCGTCCTATCTTACCTGTCACACAAAGGAACAACAAATTAAAACAACTGAGGTTTATTATGTATAAAAAATAATATATAACTACATATATTATCGTCAAACGCGTAGCATTATGAAGCGTATTATCGTTTCGACTCCCACTAGTCCCTCCTTGTTTGCGTCAATTTAACAACCAATCTGTCAATTGTCTACGATACTATCTATATGACTGTCAACTGTCAGGCTTGTAGAACAAGACTAACCAATGACGAGCGCTCACGCCAATTGCGTGCAACGATTGGCTGCTGTAGATGCTGTAGGTAATGTTGGCGTCGTTGGCGGGAGATACTTGCATTCAACTTCATATCATTAGCGTATGTAACTCTGTTCATTGTAAAGATGTCTTTGGTTCGTCGTAATTATACTATATTAAACTTTTTCTATATTTACAGTGAGATATAAGTATATACAATTATACATTGAAGAGAAAAGGAGAAAAAATAAAAAGTTCAGCTATGAAGAATAGCCTCCTGCTTTCTGAAAAAATTCTACGCTCTTTATTATGTTAATTGCGGTGAGTTAACCTCTTCAGAGATGATTAACCTTTATGTACATATGTACATACAATACAATTTGATTTGTTTTAAAAATATCAACGACAGAAGAAAATTAGAAAGGCATCGATGTATAATATTTTTATAATTTTTATTTTTAGAGATTTATATACATAAATTAAAATTTAAGATATAACTAAAAACGAATTACATTACATTTTTTAATTTTGAAAATATATATTTCTGAAAAGATTAATAATTACTTGTTTTTTTTCTATACATTTCATATTAAAAAAATGATTTGAATTAGCATAAAACATAATTTTTTAAATTTAAGTTTAAATGTTTCCTTACTTTAAAAAAGTTCTAAATTATATTGTCTTTCTTCTGCATATATTACATTACAAAGTAGTATATATTGCAAAACATATATATATGTATATCATATTGAATGAACGCATCACTCATATAACCCGTGATGTTTAGAGAATTTATAATGTTATATGTCTATATTTTTTATATATTGCATTATTATTTATGTTGTTGTTTATTTAACAATAAGCTTCATTGATCTTATTTACAATTTACATTTATCTTATTTAGCAACCTCTTGTTAAGATTATTGACTCTTTACATATATCTTCGATAATGTAAGCTTTTAAATTTTAAATACGCAAATTTTATGATTTACATGATTTTTAAAGTTTGTAATATAAATTTTACATAACAACACACACAAACACACAACACATGCGTGCAAAATTATAATTGAGAAATATCCAATTTATCAAAATTTAATCCTTCTGAATAGAAGCGCTCGCTACATTTATTTGTCATAAGCTAACTAATGTATGCTGTAAAAAACCATGACGTAAACTGCGTTGTAGGTTGGATTCATAGTTATCATTCCAAGATATATTTCTGAAATTAATTCATTTAAATGAATATATATAATAGTTCAACATCTTAACAATCGGACCGTAGTGGCGCTTCGCGTATCCAAAGTAATGTTTCTAACATAAACGGTCTTATTTCCAATCTTATTATTATCATTCCAAGAGTTTAACACGCACATTGGCGTAAAATTATCACCTAATTGGGAATTAAACCAGATATTTGAGAGTAAGAAATTTATTCAATTTCTAAAATAGTTCTCGCCTCAGTGGTAAGTTTTGTTTAACTAGATCGCGAACTCAAGCTTGCCTCGTGATTGCCTGAGGGTTACTATTAATCCGTACTTGAAGTTAAACGTTGCTCTCGATCGCAGACAATAGGGCGACGTTGATTCCGCGCGGTAATACCGCGATAATGCAATTACATAAGACGGAAGCTAGAGAAAGTCAGAGAGAGAGAGGGGGAGAGAGAGAGAGAAAGAGAGAGACCAGAAAAGCAGTTACCGAACTAACATCCCCTATATTGATCTTACAGTTGTGTAGTTCTCTTTATCTCGTCTTTGGTTTACACGCGTTTTCGGTGCACGTGCAAACGCCGCAGGAACATAGAAAAATCTCACGGTTCCCTGAAAATAAATAAGCGTCAGTTACAAAAATTATACCCAAATTCTTTACAAATTCTTAGATTTTATTTGTATACATTTATATAAAAATAATTCTGGAATCTATAATCAAGATTATGCAACTTTTTCTAATTTTAATACGTAATAAAACACCTTTTATCTTATAATGAACAATAACTTCTTAAAGGCACTTTATAGCTAGGATAATCTACCTTAATATGTAATTTAAATATTTTCTAGCACCAATCTTCGAATTTTGTCTTTAATAAACGAAGATTTAAATTTTCAAAAGAGAATTAAAATGAGGATTAACGCTATATAAACCCTCTTTAGTTTTGATTCCTTTATTAGGTTATTTCTAAGTATGAAATGAAGTTATTTATAACATACTATATAGAAAGCACTTTATACGTATTAAAATCTGAAAAAGTTACATCACCCTGCGATTATCTCTGAAAATGCACGTGTATCCGTTTATCTTTGAATGTGACACATTTTTAATGCACATGTTATGGACTTGGAACACAGTTCAGATTACCAAGACATCGGATTATTATGCGATGCTCGTAAAGACTTTTTCGCAATTTTGCGAATACCGATACCAAAGAAAGCTATCGTGAATATTTCAAGAATTTACAATAAGAATTATTTATATAAATCTTTTTACAATAAAAGTAAAAGGTATTTATTTTCATAATATGAAGAACAGTATAAAATGAAGTGTCAGTGATAGTAAAATATCTATCCCACATTATAAGAGATATTTTTCACATTGAAGATATTTTTCTTAAGACTTGTATAGATTGATTTGTTTGATAACGGAATCTCTAATATCACTGAAATGAAAGCTTTTAGAAAAATATATTTTCTTACGCCGCGATTTCTTATGGTTATAGTTAGAGGAGCGCAAACGTAATATAAGTTTTCTATTCTACTTTCACGACGTAGCGAGGCGGCCCTCTGAGCATAGAACCCCCTTGTGTAAATATCTGAGAGATCCAATATTGTGTTCGGAGAGGATGATCTTATATTCGTGAATTTAATATAGGATATTTGAAATTCTAGTTATATATCGTAATAAAGACTTGGTTAGAATTCTGCGCTTATCTCGCATTAACCTTTTATCGAGTAATAAATAAAAAATCATGTTTATGAAAAGAGATGCAGGAGTAACAGAAATTTAATATCCTGACATTTCGAATATATTTAACGAAATGAAAAACAGGCTGCTGCGAGTATCGCAAATATCGCATCGTTGTTTTTATCTGATTTTTAAATCTCTGACAAAAGTCTAAAGCTGTGAATTAATTAATTAATTAAATTCCAAATTAATTTTATTTTCGCATAACGAATTGTGCTGTCTAACATAACGTTTTGACATTTATCAAATAGATATATATAATAAAAGAATGACATATAAAATTCATATAAATTGAATTTTCGAGTTTTAATATATTTTCTGTAATGTGTATTTTTGTAAACATCTTGATGAAAGTAACAATGAGTCATAGAACTGAAAATAGATTTCACTTCATATATGAAATTCGAAATCCAGTGTATGACATAATTATTTTTCATCTATTCCGTTGAAAAAAAATTAATTGGAAAAAGGTCATCAGAATGTGTAGTTAAAACGGCAGTGAAGAACAGTCGATAAAGTGCGTTCAGTTCGCTCGTAATTTTCGTCGTACGATAGATATCGCCAGTGGCAGCTTCAGATGTAACAACTTCAGCGGTAACAGCATCCTCGGTAGCACTGCTCTCGAAATGCGTCCTTCCGTCTTCGCGAGTCTTCGCGAGGAAATCTTATTAATAATCAACGAGAGAGAAATAGAGCGTGTAAATCATGCCAGCTGAAAGTCGCGAGATACCGAGAAATTCCCAAAGCTAATTTGCGATTGTCGCGACAGTGAGAAGCGCACCCTTCTCGACGCGCCCCGAACATCCCCTACACTCCCTACAGCAAGTACGGCAGCGCAAGTAGGTATACGGCGTGAAGATTGCAGCGTACGAGGGCTCGAAAGTCGAAGACCGGGGATTGCCCGCCAACAGGACGACGCCGGCGCGGACTGCCGCCGCTGACGCCGCTCCGTGGCGAGGGTTGGAGGCGGCTCCGTGGAGGGTTGGAGTGGAGGGTTGCTCCAGAGGCGAGAGAGAGCGGTGTCGGCAGGGCTGCCGCCGCCGTCGGTCAACGCGCACGTATCACGGGGTTCACACCCATTTCGCGCTGCGGACATCTCGCGCTGTCCTCCAGGGTCGGCCTCGACGTCGTCCGCGAGGTGGATCATCACCACCACCACCACCACCCCCACCGCTCGCATTCTCTCAAGTTAATCGGACTCGCGATTCGGCTGGGGGTTCGAGACGTTATGCCGCTCCCGAGGTGCATACACACGCTGCGCGGCACCGATTAGGGTGGTGGTTTGCGCGCGTGACGGAGGAGGGTGAGAAATAGAGCACGGTACAGTTGCGTGTGTCTTAACCTGGAGACCCGTGACAGGGGAGAGAGAGTGAGAGAAAGCGCGAGAGAGAGAGATAGAGAAGGAGAGGGGGAGAGAGAGAGAGAGAGAGAGAGAGAGAGAAAGAGTGCGTAAGTGCAGCGTTTTGTGTGGGAGTCGTCCGAGAAGAATCATAAGATTCGAATCGCAGACTCTCCATTCGGAGAACGAGATTTCTCAGCGAGGGTGTCGCCGACAGCTGAGAAGATATTAAAACGCGGACGAGGAGTGCCGAAAGTCGCGGAACACATCGGTGGCGCGATGATGTCGAACGCGAGATCCTCGCGGGAGCTCGTTGCATTAGGTTCGATCCTCGCCTTCGTGCGTCGCCTGGAGCGACACGAGGGACGTACTGTCACTCCCGCGAGCGTGATTTAAGCGTGATTAAGTGACCCGTTGGGAGAATTATACGTGGAAGAATTATATACCGGAAGAAACATAAGGACAGACTAATTTCGAGATTTCGCGATCGATCTGATTCAAGTAAACGCGCGCACAGCGAGCGCGTAAACATCGATAAGACACGCGCCGCGAGAGAGGGAGAGAGAGAGAGAGGGGGAGAGAGAGAAACATAGAAAGGAGGGGTAGTAATTGCGTAAGGGAGTAAGAAATACGCGCGATGATCCCGATCGTCGCC